AGCTTAGTTTCACTTATGTTAATATATAAACGGCTGGCTATGTGTCGTTTCCCTGAGGATAGACATAATGCTCTCAGTTGAAAAACTGAATGAATGATTATTTTATCTGACTCGTTGCTTTTGAAACTGTTCTACAGTTGGTGGAACATGGTAAAGCACCTAATCTGGTCGTTGCTGGGTTTAGCTGACCTGGATAGGTTGAACTCCGTCGACAATCTTTCCGTTTTTCTTGTTCAAGTGCTGTACGGCTTGTTCTTAGTCATGGCAGTTGTTCTTCTCGTGAACATGATGATTGCTTTGCTCTCCAATACGTATCAGCAGGTTCAGGTACTAAACAGGTCCCTACCATCACGGAATTAATTTATTCTTCTCATAATCCAGAATAAAGAAAATATGGGCTTTTTTTTCGTAAAAGATACCAGATATTTTTCGTAAAGTTGATAAGCTTCTATGATCAAATATAGATCTATTTTGGCCAACAATATTACAACCTAACTGGTTAAAAAGGTTCCACATCAAACCCGTGTTGTTTCCCTGCCTGAATGATGATCAACCCGAGAGGAGCAGCTCAAGGCTTCCGTCAATGATATTGGGGACCTTAAGCAGTCAGGACGGCAACGCTGAGGAAGAAGTCGATCGATAAAATAGAGCTATATTTTTATTTAGATAGATTTACGGCGCCACACCTCAACTTCAGCTTAACGCATGTAAGCAGCCTTACAGCCTTAAGAGAAACTTGCCGGGAAAATTTGCCGTCGAGGTTCCACTCTCAGACCACGCAAATTTTGGTGATTTCACGTCGTTGGCTAAGAAATGTAGACAGTTTTAAAACGCACGTGCTGAGCTATTGTTTACTAGATCTTTCGTTGACCCATACGTTGCCGTTGGCGTTGTGGCTTGCTTAAGTTCCCTTTTCCTTTTGTGAGACGCGTCCGCAATTGAATTCATAGTTTTTAAATTCAAATTTCGAGGAGTTTTTTTGTAAACAAAAATGATATAGAATTTTGTTTCTTGTGTACGATATGACATAGTTTTTCTCCTGCTGAGGAAGTGACACCTGTTGTTCCTATTTGCTGGTACCTCCTTAAAGGCTGTTAAGTCCCTCTTTGTGTCTCTAGGATAATTCACTGCAGGAGTGGTCTTTCAAGAGAGCCATTACTGTCAGGACTTACAGCACCAATCATCCAATACCAGTGCCTTTCAACATTTTGTCTCTCTCACTGATGTTACTCCGGTACATCCTTTTGAGGAGTCCATGCTGCAGATCGTCTTATACTCCTGCTTTGGATGAGGCAGGACGGGTAAGCTGGTAACGCTGTGCTAATATATTTTTGTGAGTTTTTAAAAGAGCCACTGTTGTTGAGAGTTATCGTTTATGTCCACTCAGTTATTTTTCTTTGCTTTTGATTTGAAATTTCTTTGATTCGATAGAGTAGAACCCTGGATACACTGGTGAAGAACCTAGAAAGAAGATACTTTGAGAAGTACGGTTATAAATTTCCCCTCACAGGTAGGGTGATATGCTTGATTTGTTAATAGCCTCACATTTATGATGCGGTCATAAAACAAACTAAAGAAGGTGCGAAAGAGCTGTTGTCCTACCAAAACCAGCAAGGGTATTATTGAACGAATATTTCTGGAGAATTTCAAACTATTTAGGATAAGAATAAAAAAGACGCGTATCGTGATTGTTTCAGGCCTTAGTTTCACGACTGCTCAGGTAGTGTTCATTACTGGGATGATCACTTTCATATTCATTTCTTGATCCGCGTATCTCATATATAACTTTCATATATTCAGTCATTTGCAATGATTTTGTTAACACCATTCAAAACAGGCCAAGTTAATAGGGTAGTTTCCTATATTTGTTTAGAGGAGAAAAAGGTGGATCACTTGGTAAAACAAAATGAAGGAGGTCGGAAAATGACTAATCAGATTGTACGGGAAATATTCCGACCGCGTGGAAACAAGGAGGAGAAACTTGCGTTTGGACAAGGAGTAAGTGTTTTTCAGGCCTACATTCACTTCTTAAGGAACAGTTTCCCCACCACACTCTGTAGATCTTGCTACACCAGGAAATACCTTTGTTACATTTTTATTTTACACAAAAATTCTTCCTTCATGCAAATTTAAATGTGAACGGAGAAATTTACTGAATACACTTTGTAACATATTTTCTCTCTCCCCTTGAAGCTTTATAAGTAGATTTGGGATGTGTGTGGTTATGAGTACTTACAATGATGTTCAACTTAAATTAATTATTTTGATTATGACATAAAAATCTTGTAAAAGATATATGAGCATATAGATATACACAACTACTTTTGCAGAGTTGTGAAATTATTTCTGTGTCAATCTCTTTGTCTCACTTTTGTAAAGATATCTCATGTAACTGAAGTTTCGTTCGATCATTGTTTTAAGGCGTGGTATGATTCGCCGGGAATCGCTGTGGATGGCTGTCTCCTAACTTACATGGGACCTGATTTCTGCAAAAAATGCAAAGATGCAAATCCTAACGACATTCACAGTGCCATATTCAAGTCTCCCTTTACACCAGAGACACCACGATTTGAGGTGAGGCTTTGTTTTACACATACATACATACATACCATACACCCACGCATACGAGTGGGTGTATGGTGACTGTCTGCACATGACTACACATGCAGACAGAGAGAAAGACAGAGAGAAAGACAAACAGACAGACAGACCGATAGACAGATAAATAGACAGACAGACAGAAAGATAGACAGATAGACAGACAGACAGACAGACAGGTAGCTAGATAGACAGATAGACCGATAGATAGAGAGATAGACAGATAGATAGACAGACATACATATATCCATAGTTTATTGTATAGCCCCCCCACCCTCCATCATAATTCCTGCTACACGGTAAAATCTCTGGAAAAGCGACATAAGTACACCTCTTTTTGAAAGCCCAGGCCCTAGTTACCTTTCTCTTGTAGGCGCTCTTCCTCGTTTCTATTTTGGTGAACCACTATACTTACTTTTAAAGAGTGAGCTGTGAGCTTAGCGAGAAATAATAGAAAGACTAGACCGTCATCCTTTTTTCAGGTACTCATTCAGAGAACTGGAGAGAGGCGTTTTATTGCACTAGGTGCCGTGAATAAGGATTACGACCTTCACAAAATGCCTGGTTGGTATAATGGAACAGTTGGTTACCACGTAGACGATGGGAAAATATTTGACAGTAGATGCCCTGAAATGGGAAGAGAGATCGAAGGTATGGGTTACTTTGACCGCAGGTCACGTATTAACTAAAATGTTTACGGAGGTTTCGTCCCATTACAATCTTTGTGAGGTCTCCCCTCGTAGCAAGACGAGTTCGCCCCTAAATCTTTCAACTCGTTTTCTGATGGAGAAGGCTAGAGTTCAAAAGCACGATAAGTCGTTATGAAATGCTGGGCGCAACGACGCAGGAGTGCGAGTATCAAACTACAACATACGTATGTTGGTCATTGCTTTCGAATGTATGTGGCCTCCTAAAGAAGCAGTTTTAGTCTAGTTTGTTCATAAAAGTATTTCCTGAAATTTGCTACGAACACTAGCATAAATGGCGTCAACCACGTTAAATAAAGATCGGAGTAATGATGCGGCTTTGCATCACTTGTTCGGTAGTCGTGTGTCATTTCACACGGCTGATAATTTGTATGTTGGTCGAACTTTGTTATGGTTTTGCTGTGAAATCAGTTCATGTTGATCGATGTAAATTAAGATTTCAAAATGTTCTACCGTAAGGAGACATGTTGAAATATTTTAGGGGTGAACTGGTAAAGGTGGGAGCGTGCATGTTTTACGGCAGGGGGCAAACTCATGCAAAGACGTTTTAGGGGCGAATTTGAAATAGGGTAAAATTACCAGTTACCGACTAACAAGGTTCTGAAGGCACTTGAAAACGCCTTCAAGGTTTTACTGTCCTCCTTAATCCCACCTTGCAACAATAAACATCTGATTTCACAGAAGAAAAAGATTCAGAAATGTTAGATTGTAAACGTTAAGGGGTTCAATTTGAATTTCACTCAATGTTGTTACACCTTTGGTTAACTTTGTTTAATTTGTCCTCTTTTTGCTATGTTCTAAATACCTTATGTTGATGACTAAGGAGCCATGGCTTATCGCGGCGATCTCATCGCCTGTGAAGTTGATTTTAAAGGAGTCCGTAAGGATAGAGTCTCTGTGTTGTTCTCCTTGAACGGTAAAGAAGTAGGGCGTTCTTCAGTAAAGTACACCTCAGGACAACTACTATATCCCTTGGTCTCATTGGGATTTCCGGGCATTAAAGTGCTGGCCAAGGTATGTCCGAAAGAGGGGGAGGGCGAGGGTGGAGGAGGGGGATGGTGATGGGCTAGAAATCTAAGCTGTATATGGTTTGGCTTCATTAGTGATATGCTAACATAGGGCATAGACACACATAACTTAAACACTTTTTGTTAATTATAAACAGGGCGAATAATTAATTCCAGAGTCTGAGAGCTGCTACATAAAGAGCTCCCTTGCCACATATTTCTAATTGGCTACGGGAAAAATCCCTTGAGGCGGGAGGAGCGTGCTGGGGTATGATGATTGACCATACGGGGTGACCAGGCAAAGGAGGCATAAATCTCACTTCATATTACTTACGTTATGCACACATATCCATGTTCCATAGTTGTTGACATAATAGTTCATACTTCACAAATATGTCCATCGCCATCTTATTTTCTTCGTCAACTTTTAGCGATTTCTTTTTTTTATTTTGAGACGTACAATTTCCTCACGTTTCAGATGTGCTATCGTGATAGAGACCGTTTCAGTAGAGTAACAAATGAAGACCTTCAGGATCAACTTGACGACCTAAGGAGGATGTTGGTGGATCTGAGGAAGGAAGTAAGGGAGAAAGAAGAGCCAGGAAAAGTTTTTAAGAAACAACCCTAATTAGGTGACGATGTAAAATCGTGCACTTTGATGGATCAGGGAGTTAACCAGCTATAATCCTGCAGCTTTATTTTCGATATTCCTCTCTCTTCATTACTGATTTTTTTCAGTGGAGGGAGGAAAATAAAAAAGACCGTAGGTAAAAATCCATGGACGTATTCTCATTTATAAGTTACCTTTGCTTTATATAATTCTTTTAGTTCAAAGATCTGGTCAAAAACTCTCCCCTTCATCTGCTATACAAGTTGCAAATTTGGGAAAATGTAAGGTTAAATAAAGGTATCACTTTACTTATGAGTTAATCTATTCTGTTTGCTGGATCGTGGAGATATTTCATAGTAAAGTTCTCTATCAGGGTATAGAACATAGAACAAGAGGGCTAAAGCTGTCATGTCATCTGCCAAATTGTACTATTGACTATGTCTTACCTTTTCCCGGACTTCTCTCTAGCTTTTTTTCGTGAAATTTCGGAACAAGCGAGTCGGCAATTAGTAACAAAAGAACAAAGAAAGTTCTGTAAACATGCCAAGCGCCGTAACTGACGTTATTATAACATGAGCAAAAACGAAACTCCTCAACGAGAAAACGAAATGAACACTCCGACTTCTGAAGGTTTCACGCTCAGTCAGATTGCAAGCTTACGTACGGAAATAAAAAAAAAATACAGCTAACACCCGTGTTATAGTTTCGTGTTCAAAAACAAAGCAGAAAAAAATAGGAATGATGAAAAGTATAGCTAGACTGGCATAACTGGTAAATTCATACCAATCATGACGGTGTCAGAGCAACTGAGATCATGCTGAGATCCATCGCGGCTAGCTCATCATGGCAATCTCCGGTCATCGCAGTATAAAGCAAGCCTCAGAAATTACTCGACTACGTCTCATGTTTCTCACTACACTTCTTTCGTGCTTTCGCCGCTTCCTGCCTGCTTTACAACAGAATAGAGCACAGTCAAGGCTTCTCTATTTGTTAAATAGAAAGAAAAGTATTAATTATAATCTAGTTTCATTAAATTTTTTTTCTTTGTGGTTGGAGTGTCAATGTGTTCAGATGAAACAGATCGCATTCAGATCAGTTTGCGTGAATTACAAATACTCTACCCACCAACCATTCATTCTGAAGTTTATTTCAGAATTTATACTGCTTTCTCAGTTAATTTATGTAATCGTTCAAACAATGCGTGCAGTGTTAAGTCAATGCTGTTGATAAGCAATAGTTTACAGCTGGTTTTATGAACAATTATTGGATGAGGTTTTTGCGATATCCACAATAATCAAGGTCTAGGTAGGAGTTATCAGCCAAAGCCTATCCCTCTTTTTTTTTTTTCTTTTCGTTAGTTAGGGCCTCTGAGTGACAGCTGCAATCTTCTATTGGCTGTTATTTGGTGAATTATGAACGCATTTTGACTGGTTCTTGCTTATTGTCTGTCTATTGGAGGACGTACGCATAGATGACGTCACCATCAATAGCGCGCACCATGTGCCACTTTTTTTTTGTGTACCACATTTTAATGTCATCTGTGACGATTCATCACTGAACAGACACATGGCAACATAGATTCTATTTGGTCAAATAGTGAAATTTAATTCCGCACTTTATTGATAAAACACGGTGATTTCTGACCAGACTTCACAAAGCTAATTTTCGCTCTTAACCTTTTACCACCTCGTAAGTATGCTTATTCCATTGTGTTTTCTATACATTTTCCCTTGTACTGACAGAAGAATATGCTCAAAAATCAGCATCCTCTCAACTTGGTGATAATTTCCGTATTTCTCATGACTTTATTGTTTGATTCAGGGATACAGTAAGAGGAAATCAGTGCGATTGTTAGCTGATCCAATCCCAAATTCTAAATACTAACAACATGCATGAGAACTGTATTGCAGACAGTGAGGAGAATTGCTAAGGAGATCTTGGTAGTAAAAAGGTTAATATGTGTTCATGTGTTTGTATGCTATAGCACAGTAGGTAGATAGATGACTAGTTTAGGAATCAATTTCTCTCTGGACGCAACATTTTTACTCCCGAAAAGGTACTTATATGGCGTCCCAATATCGACCGTGCTCCCAAAATTTTTGTTGGACAATTTCGTTACTTGAATTTTTCTAAAATAAAAATCAGTCTCCCATTGTCCGGACCTCTAGATCACATGGACTGATCTTGCTGGGGCCCTTAAATCTTTTACTTTTTCCTTTGTTTGAGATCATTGACAATGACAGAAGAAAATAACCTGAAGTAATAACTTAGGCGAACAAGAATTTGAATGACAAATGAATCTAATAGTAATGCAATCATCTTCGGAGATTTGTCTTTTTTTTTTTATTAACATTCAAGCTGGATATACTTCACCTGTTACGTTGTTCCGTTTCTCATAGTCAATTTGATCAGGCTGCATTCATTCAAGTTCTTCACACAGTAAAACTCAATATTTGAACCTCGTGCCGAAGGTTAGCTTTCTAAGGAAACAGAAAGGCTCCTGAGAACGAGGTTGTCTAGTTCCTCAAGGGATCGGAGAAGAGACTGGGATCAAACTACTATGAACATGGAGAGCATGGTTGGGATCAAACAACAATATTCTTCAGTGTGATTTTCATTTACAATGAAACTCTGACAGAAAACGGCCCTTCGGCATGAGTTGCAATTGGCTTTAAAATCACACATACTTTTATATGGGTCTTTCCTTTGAATATAATGAGAATGGTTACAGAGGCTGCGAAATACAAAAATTGCGAATGTTTGATGTCAACACACACTCCACTGTAAACAGAAATATCTGAGAGGCAAGGACAAAGGCGTGCAGGCATAAGGTATTTCCTAAGGCTGTTTTGTTTTGCACAATTTTCTTACTTTTTGATTATAATTTGGTTGGCATTCTTCCAGTTCATTTTATTCTTGTGCATGGTAAGGAACTGTTTAATTCGTTTTAACTCTGAACGCGGGAAATTTAAATATTTTCCTGAGAACTCTGCACTTAGATGGCTCAATATCTACTTCAGAATTGGAGATAGCTATATCTTCAGTATACAATACACTGTAGAAAGCATCCAAGACAGTTGAATCGGGCATAAACAGTGTTGATGGTTGTATCATCTGTAGATGACAGAGTAGGTAGCTGTAGGTTGTTAGTGTTACTAGACACTGCAGATAAATGCCTGTATCTTAGATAGACAAAAGATAGCTGTATACAATGTATACAGGGTCGATATCTGCATCTGTATAGACAGTTTTGATAGCTATCAAATATTTACAATGAAGTTAGATATATTTATCTGAGGTAGAGTGGATGGCTGTTTCTTCTGAAGTTACCTGGGGGGTTGCCTGAGAGCTGGGGAGGGGGAATGTTGAAACTCTGAATTGATCAATGCATAAGCACTTCATGATTTGTTTATTTTGTAGTTCCCAAACTTACATAGTTAATTTGATTTGATTCCTGTTATATTTGTTCTCTTATTTTCAGATGTAAAGTAATATTTTGGTTTGCTTGTTATTTAGCTTATGTGATACAATTGTAAAGATTAGTTAATTTTTCCCCTTAATGTTGGTGAAAATAACATTATGTAATGTAAGATAAATTTTTTGTTACAACATCTGACGAATATACAGAGAGTGCCAACCCTTGTCAACTTAAGGTCTAAAATTCTTGCATTTATGGCATAACAACCTAGTCTTCCGAAAGTCTTTGACAGCATGTTCTAATATGCCTGTAACATATGTGGCTCCAACACATTACAAGATATGGAGCTAAACAGAATCTCTAATCTATGTCTAAAGTGTGAACTAAAGTGGGTAAACAATTTCTTTCATGGTGATTTATATTTAGAATGACCTTTCACCCTCTTTCAATAATGTTAAATTTAATTGCATTTCTGAAGCAAGTCAAACATTATTGAAGAAATTTCAATTGGTAATTTTACCTTATAATGTACCATTAGTAATGTTTAACTAACTTTTCCCTCATTGTTTATATATTTGTTTTTCATTACCTCCCTGCTGTCACCTGGTATTTAAAATGTATTGGGGCTAACAAGAAAACCTTTGGTTAACTTAGCTTCCTAGGCTTTCACAATTTGACATTAAAATTTTATTACTAGTAAATAGTATTAATCAATCTACAGTGTTGTAAAATCATAAAATTATTATAATTGAACTCATATTTATTTTGAGTGAGTAAAATTTTTTTTTACCAAAGCTGAAAAAAGGGATGCATATTTACCATATTCCACATAACAGTTCAGTAAATATCCCCTACTATTTACCTCCACTTATTAAATGAATAAACAATTTTTTGTTATTTTATGAAAGTGCAAGGAAAAGGTTCAAAGAGTTGGAACACGTGTAATTTATATATTATCAACTGATGATAAAAGCTGTCATGCATGTTTTGACACAGATGGCATGTAGAGAGGAATCTCAAGTAGATTCAAGTTGCCAGTGCCAGCATCTGAAGCCATCTTTCAGGTATGGCAATAAAGTAATAATGAGCAGTGCTGTAATCAGTCAATTTCTTGTATATCCAATGAATTGTTAATTCTTTAATTCCCATGAGTGACCAAGACAGAATTTCTCCTTACATTATCAATACAACATTAAAACCCATTGACACCTGAACCGCCCGTAACCGCCCGTGCCGCGTGGGGGACTTGCGCGAGAGACGCTTACCCCCTATCTCCCCTACTAAGCAGAATTTTGTCTCCAAACTTCATCTGTTGTTAGAGGATCTATAAACCAATCAGAATCCGTTTTTTGCGCAGTTATTTTGATAACTTTAGGGGGTAGTACAGAGGCGTCATTTTATGCGTTCACAAGAAATGATCAAATACAAAGAAATGGCGTACGCGCGGCCGACTTTCAATATTTTCAAGTCGGATTTTCTGTTCCTTTCCCACCATTTTAGACCTTCTGGAACATAAAATGAAAAGGAAAAATGCTATAGAATAATCTGCTCGAAAAATAATGGACATCACGGTCTTAAAGGCGACAAAATAAGCTTTCGAGTCGACAACACTACAATTCTCTAAAGCGATGCGAATTAGGGCCGTAAAGCGAAAACCAAACTATCGGACTTCAAGCGAGGCCTGGAGTCATTATGAAGATTCAAAGGCACGGTAAATATCACGTTTGAGTAATGAGATGTCCAATAAGTATTGTTTAATAGAAGATTTTGTGTTAAAACGTAGAACTTTCAGTATTTTCAACACAACGCTGCGCAATATTCTAGCCGTGAAGTCAAGTAAACATCGATCTAAGCATGATGAATTCTACTTCGTGGGTTTCGCACACGTAAGAAATTCGTACGTTTTTCGGTTCTAACAGAAAATCAAGAACTGTTTGAATAAAGCTTTCTTCCCGAAACGTTCCTTGGTCAGTTTTGTCTTTCTCCTCATTTATAATTTCCATGTAACATGAGATCTCTTCACACACTGATGAATTTGCATATTCACTTTGAAATCCGATCCGCATACATTTTTTGCACACGTGCGCAAAAATTTACTGATTTTTATCTTTTATCTTGATTTTAGAGTAAAAACTTAATATGCATCTATTGCTTTCCTCGTTGATAGTAAGTTATTTAAATGGTCTTCTTTCACGTGAGCTTGTTTTTGGGAAAAAAAGATTTGTCAAACTTTACTGCGCATTGTGTTTACTTTTCCGGTTTCTCCAAAATTTTAACTTTTGGGTAGGCACGTGTTACACGTAGGAGTCAATGGGTTAACCAGATACGTAATGAGGATAAAGAAAAATATCAATTTGGGGATAATGTGTTTATCCAATACTTAATTCTCTGAACTAACATTATAAGAATTGTATGGTTGACAGTAAGGAGAGTTACAAATTTGATCTGGGAGTTGAAGGGTTAGAAGGAATTTCAGTTATTTCTTAATTTTGATGTTACTTTTGATGCATATGTAGTTATCAATAATTCTGACAAAATTTTAAGACTTTTGGACAAAACTGTTTTATTCAAGTTTATTTTCCTAGCTTGCTTTATATGCAAGGTAAATACCTTAACCCTTTAACTCCCATGAGTGACCAAGAGAGAATTTCTCGTTACATTGATCAATATAAAATCAAGAAGACAAGTGATGAGAACCAAGAATAGTATCAATTGGGGGATCATTAGTTGAACCAATATCAAATTCTCAGAAGCAACATCAGAAGAATTGTGAAGCAGACAGTTAGGAGAATTACTAATGAGATCTTGGGAGTTATTTGGGTTAAGGTAGTGACACTTTTAGCACTGTCTTGTCCACTTAAAATCCCAAATGATTCAAGGATGGAATTTTGTTTGGAAAGCCTTGGAGTTTATCCCTGATTGGCTCACTGATTGTTAGACTTGTCAACAGATTGATTGATTGGCATACTGATAACTGATCAGCTTATCAACTGATAATCAAAGTGAAAGACTGTCTACTGAATAAAAGACTAACAAGGTGGTTGACTTGCTAATCATTGAGGAACAAAGAACCAAATTAGTGACTGACTGACAGACTGACTGACTGATTGACTGATTGATTGATTGCATCGCATTACATTGTCTCACTGTACATGTATTAAAAATTGTTGTTTTCTTGTAAATAAGATGTCATCAGCATGATAAAAGCACTGGACCAAAATTTAAATGGTTATCTTCAGGATTAATGCTTGTTTAACTTTACAATCCATTATGGTTGGATGAACTAGGTCAACAAAAGTGATGTAAACCAAATTCTAGTTTCCTCAACTATTTTCAGATTTGTAGTTTGTCTTGCAATAGTTTCTTTCCTCTTTGAATAAGAAGTATATATAGCTCTCAGGTAATCAATCATCTCATGATGCCTTCCCCTCAAACCTTGTAGTGTTCTTTACTTTAAAACATGTCAAAATGAATGGCAATCTTGCTGCACACTACATAGAGATTATACCGCCAGCTGAGTGCCTGGAACATCTCAACAATTTGACATCTTTATTGCTTGCTTACAATAAATACGGGCTACATGGTTTTGGAGCTTCTGTAAAAATAAACTTTAAGATAAGTGCACACATACCAATTGTCTGATTATGACTGAAATGCCAGAACTGTTCATGTGAGATTGCATGACTGGTTGACTTGCTGGCAAACTGATGATTAACTGATTGTCAAACTAACCAGATGCCAACCATTGAAAATCTGAATTCTACAGTTGTTTGAATTTTAACTTTTCTAACTGGCTGATTGTTTGACTTACTGACTGACTGAATGACAGACAGACTGACAGATTGATTGACTGATTGACTCAGACTGACTGGACTTATGGACTGACTCAGACTGACTGGACTTATGGACTGACTCAGACTGACTGGACTTATGGACTGACTCAGACTGACTGGACTTATGGACTGACTCAGACTGACTGGCTGACTGACTTGCTGTCCTATGGACTGACTGACATGCATCATTGACTGAAGACTGTTGATTGATTGCTTGATACAGAAGCTGTTAACTTTGTTTAGGAACTGTTCTCCATGAGATAAAAATTAGTACTTGGGTAGAATTTCTAAATAGTTGTCAAAATTGTTTGCATAAACTGTTGTGTGCTGTGTTCTCCTTTCTTTTGTGAAGTGTTATAAAGTAAAATCTGGATCACATTTGTGGAGAATTACAGCTTTTTTCAACAGACAAATTGACAGACTGGCTGATAATCTTCCTGACTTATGACTGATGGATGTATTTAAAGTTGTGTTACTAAATGATAAGTTTTTTTAGCTATCTGTTTACACACAAATTTTTCCATCATATATCCAAACACAAGGAAGGCATTGAGGAAAATGTTAATTCATCAATTTTCTTTTTTCAGGATTTATGCCAACTGTGGACCATGGGTTGACATTTTATTCTTATTGATGATTGCTGTACTGGAAATCCAGTTGTTTGCTTGAGTACACAAACAAAATTCTGGTATGAGGTATGCTCTGTTTGAAGTTCACCTCAGATGTATATTGTACAATGCAACTTGCTTTGTTCAATCAGCAAGCAGAGCACCCCCACTGGTATTCAAAATGGTGTCAGACATTCCTTAATTGGTTGTTTAAAGGGTGAATGAAGGTGGACCTATCCAATTTTCCTTTTTTCGTAAATGAGAAGTTCCAAATTGCTCCAAATTATTCCTATGGCAGCAGTACAATAAATTTCTCTAATGTCATTTTTCTTGAACTATAATTAGAATTTTATCACACAAAGACAAGTGAAAGCATAATAAGCATACTAATGTGCTCATAGTGAGGAAAAGAAACCTGAGGATGAAGAGGCTTGCACAATAAACTAGATGGCAAATGAATTAATAATTATTTTACCAATCAAAAGGTGCCAAGAATCTTTACAATGCTTTATTAAATTAAACCTTCACATAACCGTGTTTTGATACAGAGACAAGAGCAAAACACTTTAATTTATCTTTTAGTGTCTTTTGAAAGAATTTGTTTATGATTTTCTTGTTTCCTCTCCACGATAGAAAGATGTTCTCCTTCTAGTCTCCCTTGGTCTCTGGTAGTGCAGCTAATTTTATGAGATAAGTATGTAAATATATCATATGCAAATATTAAATACTTTTAAAAAAAACCCGAAAATGTTTGCTGAAGAATTGGTAATAAACATAAAAAAGAAAGACATGCCAATTTCCTGAAGAAATTGGCATTTCTTAATGGATAAATTGATGATAACTTTTGGCAAACGAGTTGACTGAAAGCTGACCTGCTTAAGATTCTGTTTCACCCCACACAACTCTTCCATAGTTTTGATCTGTGATGCTAGGACTTAGTCCCCAAAAAAGCGGAAACAAGCATTTCGGAAACTGGACTGTCTTTATGCGCTGATCAGGTTTTTGACTTTGTACAAGAGGTGGGTGACTTAAAGCTGACCTGCAAAGGAGTTGGTTTCACCCTACACAACTCTTCCTTAGTCTTTATCTGTGATGCAAAGACTTGGTCCCCAAAAAGAGAGTATAAAACATTTCGGAAACTGGGCTGTCTTTATGCGCTGATCAGGTGTTTGACTTTGTACAAGAGATGGGTGACTTAAAGCTGACCTGCAAAGAGTTGGTTTCACCCTACACAACTCTTCCTTAGTCTTGATCTGTGATGCAAAGACTTGGTCCCCAAAAAAGAGTATAAAACATTTCGGAAACTGGACTGTCTTTATGCGCTGATCAGGTGTTTGACTTTGTACAAGAGATGGGTGACTTAAAGCTGACTTGCAAAGGAGTTGGTTTCACCCTGCACAACTCTTTCTTAGTTTTGATCTGTGATGCAAAGACTTGGTCCCCAAAAAAAGAGGAAAAAACTGTTTTGGACACTGGACTGTCTTTATGCGCTGATCAGGTGTTTGACTTTGTAAAAGAGATGGGTGACTTAAAGCTGACCTGCAAAGGAGTTGGTGTCACCTTGCAAAACTCTTCCTTAGTCTTTATCTGTGATGCAAAGACTTGGTCCCAAAAAAAGAGTATAAAACATTTCGGAAACTGGACTGTCTTTATGCGCTGATCAGGTGTTTGACTTTGTACAAGAGATGGGTGACTTAAAGCTGACCTGCAAAGGAGTTGGTTTCACCCTACACAACTCTTCCTTAGTCTTTATCTGTGATGCAAAGACTTGGTCCCCAAAAAGAGAGTATAAAACATTTCGGAAACTGGGCTGTCTTTATGCGCTGATCAGGTGTTTGACTTTGTACAAGAGATGGGTGACTTATAGCTGACCCGCAAAGGAGTTGGTTTCACCCTGCACAACTCTTTCTTAGTTTTGATCTGTGATGCAAAGACTTGGTCCCCAAAAAAAGAGGAAAAAACTGTTTTGGACACTGGACTGTCTTTATGCGCTGATCAGGTGTTTGACTTTGTACAAGAGATGGGTGACTTAAAGCTGGCCCGCAAAGGAGTTGGTGTCACCTTGCAAAACTCTTCCTTAGTCTTTATCTGTGATGCAAAGACTTGGTCCCAAAAAAAGAAGATTAACATTTCCGAAACTGGACTGTTTTTATGTGCTGATCAAGTGTTTGACTTTGTACAAGAGAGGAGTGACTAAGACCTGATTCGCTAAGGAGTCGGTTTTACCCAACAAGTCCCTGGAAAGATTTGAAGATAGTTGATTCAAAGAGTTCGTTTTTAACACGAAAACTCATATTGGAAACTGAAGGGAAAATGTTTGTTGATTTCTATACCTGATCAAAATGATTAGCTTTTAGCCCCCTAATGAACTTTTAACTTTTACCGAGTCTGACGCCTACTTCAAAACATTTTGAAACCCTTGCGGTAAACGTACTGATTCGAGGAGACACTATAGAAACTAATTCCAAATAAGTAAAAACGACGGCTTAGTGTGGAGAAGACAAAGCAGCGTTACTTTTGAAATACTCCTTGCAGCATGACCAAAATATACCATTGCCAACAATGTCCTAAAGAAGCAATCGGTCTTACAAATATTTTTTATTCCCCTTTGTCCTGAGAAGGAAGACTTCTGATGGTAGTTACAAGGTCTTTCGATCGAAATGTGCTCAAGCAAACTTTTTATGTCAATCCTTCAGGCTCGGTCTAAAAATACTTTTGAGTTTCATCTCTAAATCTGTCGATCCTTTAGTTTTATATTATATATTTTATTATAAAAAAATTGATAACAAGAAGAATACTGCCAAAATTTTTCGTCATTTTTTCAATTGAATTGATGAGATTAAGATTAACTGATATCTTTCATTTTTACTGGTGGTTGCATCCACAATTGATTCGTGTCTAGAACTAGGGGTCTTAAAATGTTATCGTTTCGTTTTCATTGTCTGTTAGTTGCCATAAAGATGACTTTAGATTGTGGTGAGCCGAATTGTTGTGGCGTTGAAACTTATGTAATTCTTTTATGATAGTCCTAAGCGACCAATCTCTATGTATATAATTTTGGCGTACCTTTGCTCTTTCAGCTACCCCAAAGATTGAAGTAGAAAAAGGAAGTTCAAGAGAAACGAGAGTACTTTTTAATCTGGTGAGTGTAGCTTTGTTGTTCACTTGAAAGAAAAATTGTGCAACGTATGTGGAAGTTTTTCATGGTCGTGTGACGGGAATAATCTGTTAGTCGTTCTTGTGGTGAAGGTCTAATTAGGACGCATTCACATTCATTTTATTTTCCGAATTGAAAACTTTTTCAACTGTGATTGTTGTGGTTGTTCAAGAGAAACGAGAGTACTTTTTAATCTGGTGAGTGTAGCTTTGTTGTTCACTTGAAAGAAAAATTGTGCAACGTATGTGGAAGTTTTTCATGGTCGTGTGACGGGAATAATCTGTTAGTCGTTCTTGTGGTGAAGGTCTAATTAGGACGCATTCACATTCATTTTATTTTCCGAATTGAAAACTTTTTCAACTGTGATTGTTGTGGTTGTTCAAGAGAAACGAGAGTACTTTTTAATCTGGTGAGTGTAGCTTTGTTGTTCACTTGAAAGAAAAATTGTGCAACGTATGTGGAAGTTTTTGGTCGTGTGACGGGAATAATCTGTTAGTCGTTCTTGTGGTGAAGGTCTAATTAGGACGCATTCACATTCATTTTATTTTCCGAATTGAAAACTTTTTCAACTGTGATTGTTGTGGCATAGTTAAATAGAAGCTTGTGGAAGTTTGTCTTAGTCTTTCGGCAGGAAAAATTTGTTTGTCGTCCTTTTGGTAGAAGTCTGATGAAGTCAGAGGGCGGGTAACGTTTTATGTCTCAAATTCTTGGTCTTGATTTCATTTGCCTGTTTTGCAGGTTTTTTCGACCACAAAAAGCAGGATAACAAGGAACACGATCACCTTAAGCATGAGACCATAGAAAAATATCAATCTTGGAAAGAAAGCAAAATTGGATCGAATCCCAACTCAGAGAATAAAGTGAAACATTGGGATTCGATCTGTCCACACCCCCCCCCCCCCCTTCTATTAGTCAGTTTATCAAATTTGACTGCGTTGGGAGGAAACTGAAAAATTGTTCGCCTTCCATCATCCCCCACCACACCTGCCTCTCTTAGACAGTTAATAGAAGTTATGTACCTTTGAAAAAAAACGTAAACGTTCCCCGTCTACCGTCCCTAATCCCACCCGCCTCTCGTAGGAGGCGGGTGGACTTACCTCTACCTTGGAAAGAAACCATAAACGGTCCCACACCTCACCACACCACACCACACCACTTTCAGTCAGTTTACTTAATTCTTGATAAAGGTCATCTAAACATTTTTTATTACATTTTTACCAACATTACAGTACAATGATCCAATATTCATTGCTATAGTAATATTGCAATCCTTACTTTAATTTACAGTTGTTTATTTACAACAATTGAACAGTTTTTTCCTTTCACCCATCCGACCTCCCCCACCACGCCCACCTCTTGCAGAAAGTTTTCTTAGCCTTTCAAAACCTTGTCTACCTTGTGGTATTAACGTTTATTTCAAAATCATGCGTTTTGTGCTACCACATATCTGTCTTAATACACATGCGTATTACTTTCATAAATATTTAAAAGTCTTCGAAGAGAGGCGGCTGTGATGGGGGGCGGTGGCGGTCCGATTCAGTTGGTGTTTGTCTCTGGTCTCTTGCCTTGCTTGTTTCAATCTAAGGAAAATGGAAGAACATCAATAAAGGGCTTTATTCTGTTTTGCTCATATCCCAATTAACTGCAGTTTGCTGTTACCGTGATTAAATAAAATAAAATATCGAGCAGCGTTTAATTCCAAATGGATACGTAACTAACTCACCGTCATTGTTCCTGAGAAATGTACCAAATTTTAAAATGCACGTGCTGAGCTATTAATGTGCTCATTAATTCTTTTGTTTGGCCACCTCGTTGCTAAAGCCGTCGTGGTTTGAAAACGTCTGAATTCGGAGGATTGGACTTCTGTAAAATATTGCCTAAACTAGGTAATATGTTGAGCTTTCTAACCTGAAATCAGTACATCAACAAATCGCCTTGAAACTCTTCATTCCGGAAGACATCCCAAACGATTCCTCCATTACTGCAATTTTCAAAAAAATCATTGTCTATCTGAAAAAGATAATTTGAACAAAACATATTTGCAGGTGTAAATATCTTTCAGACTGCTATGTTTGGTTTCAAACATTTACAAAAAAAAAACTTCAAAAAGGAATCAAAGAAAAAGCAGAGTCACGGTAAACTCCAATTCACTACTCTTGCTGATTTCCCTACCCCTCCCCTCGACTCGAGAGAGAAGTATTCGACTCTAACTGGAAAGCGTAAACTAACTATTTTGGTGCAGATGAGGTTACCGTCGCATTCACTGGGATAAAGTTTAAAAATAGCGAAGTGAGTGAAAGCCCTAGATGCTGCTACAGTACCGCTCGCATACACGTTAACCAAAAAACGCAAATAAAAAGCGCCAAAAGTCGCACGCAAGTACGAATACAAAAATCGCACGCGCGCGCATAAGCTTGACACATCTGCCTCATTGGTATGCATGACGTAGACCTTTTGTTTTTCTATTGTTGGCAGTTTATCGTGTTAAAGAATAGTCAACAATTTAAGAGCACTAAAATACAACACGGCTACCAACTACGAGTAAAATTGTTCGTTTCAATCACCGTTCGAACCGTTACATACGAAAGCGACTTCGTAATCGGATTATATAAACGATCTATTATTTTCCAACGGAATCCTGTTATCAAAAATATTCATTTCTCACTTATAAAAAATAGCCGTCGCAACGGCTCGAGATTGTGATCAAAATAAATTTATTCTCAGTGTATCGTATATCGGCAGAATCAGCTGCGGCGCCCGTTTGTATCCAGTTGTCGCGTTCTGAATACAAACCCACACGCGAATGCTTATTTGATAGCTTTCATCATCTTCCTACAAGCAAGACTTCTTTAACACATACCTACAGGTCGTTAAAACAAGTTCTACTCTAAAGAGCGAATAGGAACATATTCTTGATTGTACGAATCATTTGGACAGAATTCGAGAAATCAAAGTCTAAATTTGGCCAACGATATTTTCGTTAACAAATTTAGCGTCCCCAAAAGGCAGCTACACGTACTCTATTACAGAGGTGTGGATCTGCGCAATGGTCTTACAAGTACCCTTAAGACAGCACATGATCACGGCAGCAAAGTTAAGTTTCTTTTCGTATTCGTGGATCCATTATTTTGATGAGTGTTACACCTATTAACCCTATCTCTCTCCCAAAACAGAAAGATGTTTAAAGGCTCCCTGATGATGACGATAATTTCTTTGTATATAAGAACCCGATGTCACGGACCACACCCTTTAAATGACGGTTTCCTTAATTCTCGTCAAAATAAGTTTGGTAATGATTCGATCCCCAACAATAAATCTAAACTCCTGTTGATGTGAGTTGCTGATTCAAAAATTCTTTTAGAAGATGGTTGAGGGCGTTGGTGCCAACAAAAAAGGCTCTTAGCCAGTAGACTGTAAACTTATAAATACAAATCAAATCGGTTCAGTTTTTGTCAACTGTGGTTCCTGGTTTGTCCAATTCGCGGATTACCAAAGAGTCTACCAGACAGTTTGAAAAGAAGTCAGCAAATGTGAATTGCACTTGATTTGTTTTTGAATCTCAACCTTGGAGAGGTGGGTAGTCCAATGTAAAAATGTTTAGGGCGTTCGTTGCAAACAAATTTCTGTGTAAAACAACCTGCAAGGTCCATGAAGTCTTAGCCGAATGAAACTGCGTCACGCTTGTAAAAGCTGTTGAAAAATTCGCTTTAGCTTAAGAAAATTTTGAGTGAATATTTTCAATCAAAAAATTCAAAACAATGTTTACTACGTTACTAAAACGTTTACAGATCCTATCACTTATTTTATGGGTATCTTTTGAAGCTCTGAAATGGTATCATGATTAGACTAATTTAGCAAAGGTCATCATTGGTTGAAAAGTACTAATCCAAAACTTCTACCCCGTAAAAGGTGTAAAGAGCAACTCTGCCATTTCAGTCCTTAGTGTAAAACAATTTGCTGCCTAAAATCGAACAATGAATTCATAAAAAGAAACTTTACCACTAGTTTCTACCTACCTCAGCCAGGCATCTCCACCCGCCAGGCATAACCCCACCCCAGGGGTTGCAACCCATAAGTACACACAAATTCACTAAGTGGAATTGAAAGTGCTAGAATAAATCTCACGCACATGTACTACTGGCCAAATTTCTTCTGTTTTACATAATTTATGGAAATTGTATGAAGATACGATACATACATAAAATAAATTCATACTTAAGAAAGAAAATATAGTGCTATTGAATACCTGTTGATGACTTGCACTTGGAGGATATATACAACCTTGTTGTGTGAAGTTGAAGTACAACTTGAGATGTGACTTCCCTTTGTTTTCTCAGAAGGAGCTAAAAACAGAAATGGTTTAAAACAGTTTGAGATATTATGGGATGCCAAACCAGTCAATATTCCCTCTGTATTTCTGTGACCCATTTTACTTTTTATGTGGTCAATTTGACTTTGTATATGGTTAACTTTTTCCTTTTTGTATGGTCAACTCGAGTTTTTATGTGGTCAACTTTTTACTTTCCATAAGATCAATTTTTACTTTTTATATAGTTAACTCAACTTTTAACTTTTTATATGGTTAAGTTGACTTGTTATATGGTCAATTTTTTTCTATTTATATCTGTCAGTGTAGAATGCAGACTGCAGACTTCAAAGGGGGGGGGGGGAGGGGGGTAAAGAGCAGACTGAGGGTAAAATGCAGACTGAAGACTGCAGACCAGGGGTAAAATGCTGATTCAGTTCTAAAACAAACCACTTACCCAGAAAAACTTCAAGAGTGAGCTGGGATCGAGGCCACATAAGTTTTGAGAGGCTGGCAATAATGGTCATGGCAATTGATGTTTTGAACCTCACTTCCTCAGATGGTTTTGGTGTTGACATATTGTTTTAAGGTAAGAATGATTGGAAACATCAGTGTTTGAATATGCAGTTCACAGCCAGCAAAATGCATTTCCCATGTTAAGGAATAAACAGTTCTGTTCAGCAACATTAGGTAGCTTCAACATACATGTAGCTCATGTAATACTTTGTTTGGCCTTGAAAGAATTAGTGATAGACTTTCATCACACATTGGCAATTTTCAATTACTTGGATGATAAAAACCTGTTTCTTGTACTGTTGTTCAGTTTGCGCTGCAAAGGTAGGTGGCATCTTGGAATTGGTGCTCTGTATCTGAAGCTTCAAGATGTTCAACACCTTGCTCTGCGCTTTGCAATCAGGTTGATACTGTGGTTATAAACAGTTGATTCTTTCAGAACCTAGTCTGCATTTTACCCCAGATCTGCAGTCTTCTGAGTCTACATTTTACCCTCAGTCTGCATTTTGAACCTGTTCTGCAGTCTACGTTTTTGCACTGACCATACAAAAAGTTGAGTTGACCATATAAAAATTAAAATTGATCTTATCAAAAGTAAAAAGTTGACCACATAGAAACTCAAGTTGACCATATAAAAAGTAAAAAGTTGACCATATAAAAAGTAAAAAGTTGACCATATAAAAAGTAAAATGGGGGCACAGAAATACAGAGGGAATATTGACTGGTTTGGCACCTCATAAGATATTACACCTTTTCTTGTTTGACATTAAGACTTGTAGTAAGTGTGATAATATGAACAAGTAGTGCAATAATTAGGCTCTGACTCTATGCATCCATAAGAGATCTGTAAAATATTATGGAAAGTTGTATCTTCTCTGGTGACCACATGATGATTATTGATTGAAAATGGCAATGATACAGGGTAGATTTGGCTGGAGTCAGCCCTTGTAACAAAAACAAGCAATGATACAAAAAGGAGACATTTGCCCAGTTTTAACAATCTACATGTACACATACTTATACACCATTCCCAATGAAAAAAGTATTCAGGTCTATCATGATTCATCTGTCAGTCAAGACCAACTACCACAACAGTGATACTATAAGGTAGATTGTCACACTTTTGTTTGGATAGAAGGAAAGTAAGATTTTTTTGTTCAAGATCACTCCAAAAGTGAAAAATCATGTTGAAACCATATGACAAAAATAATCAAATTAAAAGAAAAGTTGAACAAATCAATTAAAATAAAAAACTACTTCATGTAAAATATTTAATTACTTAGGCAACCTGGGTGCTAGCCTAATATAGTGCTTATGCCTGACTTTCAGATGGTTTTCAATATTGATCTGCAGTGTAATTTTTGACAAAATGTTTGGAAAACTTACTTTGAAGTGATGCATTTTGAAAAAGTTCAATTCAGTATGAGCATGCTCACTCAACCTCAATTTTTAATTTTTTTTTAGGGGGGGGGGGAGGGGCTTGGATTTCTGGTGCATTAGTGCAATAAATCTAAATGGACAAAATTTGGTTTGTAAATTACAGTATGGAACTTGAACCAGGTTAATAAGTATGATGTACATGTACATGTACCACTCCTTAATATTTAACTGAATGTGTAAAAGGCTTTTCCACAGGTTACATACTGAGAACTCACCACAGGAGACAACAAAGGATCATCCAAAGACCTTGAACCAAGGCTGACATACATATCTCATACCAAGGCTTGCCTGTACACCACAACC